AACGGGCATCCAGAAGTAGGCGATTTTCTGCAATCAGATTCTCCACACCCACCGTAAACGAATCGCTTGTCATGTAAGGGATTGGGCCTCCGGACGAAATCAGGAGTGCAACGGTAAGTCCTTGATCATCCAGCAGTCCTATCGTTTGCCCCACTACCGCAGACCATCACTTCGCCATTTCCGTAGATACCGGCAGTCCACTCGGGCCACGAATCCTGAAGACGCCCCTGCCTCTAACGGAAGGGGAAACGCGTCGTCTGAATCAGGGGATATCGCAGCTCTTAGTGCAATTCAAAGATTTTGTCTCGCTTAAATTCCGTAAGTGCGTGCGCACATGCCTCTTCACGTTCCTTTTTGACACCAATTTAAAAACTCAAACAAATGTAATTGATTGAAATGTACAGCAGTATGCGTCAAGAGGAGCATAAGTAGTAAACCTCCATTCTTTCGTTGGCACTGTGCCTAGATTCGTATTATGCATACAAGAAAACCCGATTGGATCATGTCTGTGCACGATTTAGTGGTCTGGAGAGGCACATTTTTAAACTACATTCAATGCGGAACTTCATTCGGTGCGAGAGTTCAGTGATTAGCGGCGCAATGCTCCACCACGATTGGCTCGTTTCCGTTGCTAGCCGTCTGTAAGCAGCGAACGTTGCGGTTTGAAGAACTCGGTAAAGAACTGTGTGGGACGATGTATGGCGCAGTGTTTTGATGTGGTGCAGTAGGTGATGAGTTGTGTGTGGAGACATTTTAGCGCATCGTTGACCGCCCTGGTGACAGGTTAAGTGGTTAAATATGTAAGTGCATGATCAAGCCATTTCCTACCCTGTAGTCCTTGGTGGCAAACGCTTCTAAAAGCACGGAGTCATGGGTCTTTCCCAAAACAAAATCCAGTCCCCAACGTGTTACTTGGTGAAATTTGCAAATGCAACTACGAATTGGTATCCTTGTCCCAGCCGTGGTAGCCAGGTCCTTCGCAGGCCATATGGCCAAGGTGGCACTTTTCAGTTATACCGTGAAGCTGACTGAGAACCACAAAGTTGGCATTCCTTGCTGGTGTGGTGTGCAAAATGACAATTAAATTTGATATGTAAGTGTGCACTGCAGATGCAGAAAATTGTGTGCTGGCATGTAGGCATGCAGCATAAATGCAGCACAAAAAGTGCAGCAGGACCCACTTTGTCAGTAGATTGTGACTACTTCATGTGTGGGTTATGATTGGGGCATCCTCTGACACCTGGCTCAGGTCCAGTCTAGTGGTCTGGTTTAAATTGGGGAAACTTCACATTATTGTGGTATGGTAGCCAGTTGTCAGGGCATTATCTGTTAATCTGGAGTGCACTATTGGGCACTAGGCTGTGGGTAATGGCATTGGGCACTGCTTAACATTGTCTAAGGCCAAAACAACATTGTAGTGAAATTGAAGAAGTATAAGGTGGGACTACAAACTTTTACTTTGAACATTGGGGCATGAAATGGTCTACCATCAGCTGGTGGGAATCCCAATTCTCATGAAGTTATTATAAATTTATAAATGGAAATAAATAAATATCAGGTCTCGCTTTTGCCAGAACAGCAAATGAGCAAGGGCTTAGGTGTCTCCAGAAATCAATGACTATGATTTACTGCTTTGGTGGCACTTTACATGCAGTCTGCAAAATCAATAAATGGTGTTACTGGATCATTACCAGTGCTAGGAATGTTGGAGATTTGCTGGTAACAGGATATCTGGTATCTGGTATCTGATATCTGGTACCAGGATATGGTATCCTGTGTGGGAGGTTTGTCTGCACCAGGCTAGGGTAGCTTGTGTTGATTTCACTGGCCTGTTGCTAAATTACATTTAATAACACTATGCCATGTGACCATAGTCTGGTGAAACTGATGCAAGCCACCTTATACTTTCAGATTGGATCTGTTGGGTCCTGCCCACACCAAGGTTCAGCAATGGCTACCACCGTTGAGGAAGTTGAGGAAGCTGGCGACAGCATACCACCACACGCCTACCCTTGTCCGACGTGTGGCATGCTGTTCAGCGAGTCAGACATGTGCGATACACATGCTTCGTTTTGTTCGCAAAGTGACGATCCTGGAGGGGACTGGACGATGAGAGAGAGTTCATTGCTCGTCGACTGTATGGATGCTAGATACGCCAAATTTGTGCAGCTGTCACCGAAGGAGAGGAGAAGCCCACTGGAAGCGGACGGCGCCACGTTGTGGGCGCCACGGCCGACGGAGACGCGACACCGCTGAACCCAACTGATCTCTCGTACAACCGGATAAGCTGGCCAAGGCGCATGGCCGCTCGACGGCCGCGATCGGTGGCCCAGTACTATGAGAAGATGGACAACATCCTGGGCGAAGCGGGGTGTCAGTGCGGCCTGAGTTGTCATCTCGTCCATGCCGTGGAGACGTCCGCTGACGGCACGATCCAGCCTGGCAGCGGCATGCTGCTGTCGCCGGAAGGGCTGATGTCGAAGGTGGGCGGCACCAGCAAGCTGATCGAGCTGATGCAGGAGCGTTACCCGCGCTACACGAAGATGTCGCGAAACGGCGGAAGATGTGTGGAGGAGAGATCGCCGACCCCTGCTGGGCGTTCTTGTGTCGCCGGATGAGGCGCGAATCCGGTGGAACATGCTGTCGGCTCGTACAAGCGGACCAAGTTCAACCGGACGATGAAGCGAGGCGTCCGCAAGTACAAGCACAAGTGGCAGTACTACTTCGAGCAGATGGACAAGATCCTGGGCGACAAGTACAAGCCGGTGATGCCGCTGCTGGTTGCTATCGTCGCGACCGATCCAACCGAACCCCACAGTTACGTTCTCCACAGCGCCCACGCTCTTCACGACCAACGCGGCGACGAGCAGCGTCGGCCAGGCGGCCACCACCGGTACCACGTCCACGGCCACGGCCAGCGTGCTGCAGATCGGCCCCACTGGTCTCCTGCAGGCCGCACCCGGCGTCCTCCAGCCGGGCACCACTGGCATTCTGCAGCCGGGCACTACCGGCATACTGCAGCAGGGCACCACCGGCATACTGCAGCAGGGCACCACCGGCATATTGCAACAGGGCACGACAGGTATTTTGCAACAGGGCACGCCGAACGTGCAGACCGTGCTACAGGGCACGCCCGCGCAGCAGGCCGCTGAGGTCGAGATGTTCACCAGCAAGCGAAAAGCGCTCTTCGTGGAGGAGTACCTGCGCGCCAAGGCGCGACGCGAGGAGTTGCGATTGCAGCTGGAGGAGCGTCGCATCCGGGCCCTGGAGCGCCTCGTCGACACCATGGAGGCACGCTCCCAGTGTTGAGTGCGTGCCGGGCGACGGCAGATCTCAAGGCCGGAGTGAACGAGGCGTGTTGCTGTGCCTGGTCTGACGGTCGAGCGTGGGGTTAGCCGTTGCCTCGTAGGTGTGTCTGTGGACGCGTAAATGCAAGGTGCGGCGCGAGGCTCTGCCAGAAATATGGCCAAGTGCGATGCAAGAAAGTGTTTATGTGCTCTCGAGGATTTGCACAACGATCCCGGATGTGGTGTCTGGTGCGGATGTCGGTCATATGCCCTGCCTTGGCATTATCCGACGCCATTGTGTACTGATACACAATGCATGTTCAGTACTTGATCACGTCGTGTTCATCGATGGGAAACACCACTGACCCGCCGCGGTGGTGTTCGAAGTGGACGCGGCTGGAACATCGGCGACCAGCCCAGCGTATGCCGGACATTCCGTTGCCGCGGCGGTGGTATGTCATGATCATTACTTTGCCATTCATCCCATATGCTGTTTGAAGAGGCTCCAATGAGGCTCCCGAATATTCTTTGGATTTCTCTTTCTGCGTGCCTCAGAAGCGGAGTCAGAGCATACTCCGCATTGGTCGAACATTCACCATTAATCATAAAGTTGGAAAAGTTTGGATGCAATTTGCTTAAATGAAACGATCTCCACGACAAAATCGGAACACCCTGGTTTCCTGTTCTGCCGCGCTATTTTCTTTTCGACGTCCACTGAAGAGGCACGCTTGTTTTACAGGCCATGAGAAAATCGAAATATGATGCTGCCAGAATCTGACGTCCAGTGTTTTGTTGTCAGTTGTTCTCATCTATATCTATATCACCAGGTAAAATACACATTCGAATTGCTTGTATTACATGGTCTCACACAATTACACCCAGATAACCTCTCGCATGGGTTTTCCACGTCGTGGCGGTCGCAAGGGGGATCTCCGTGAAACAAATGTGTCGCAGGCTTGTGTGAACCTCTCGCGCTGCGGGATGTCCACTGCAGGATGCCAGGCACCGTGGGGATGGCTCATAAGCCCAGTGCATAACTTCCCACATTATGCGCATGAGTGCACGGTCGGAAGTGCGGGCGCACGCGACATCGCTCCTTACGGGGTCCTGTACGCTATGGGTGACCTTGCGAACTTGGAACGAGCAAGGTGTACGGACGATCGGTTCAGCGGATTGTCCGCTGCGGGCCTGATCTCCGGGTATCGTTCAGGCTGTCTGTATGGTTAAGTGGACGGGAGAAGCCAGTCAACACATGTAGGTAGGACAATAATTTTATATGTCCGAAAATAAACATTCGGGCAACGCGGTAAACTGCGCTCATGGAAGGTGTATCTCCCCCCCCCTTAATGGTCGGCGGGGCCATGTCCCTTAATGTAGGACTGCGAGCAACAGACAGGTGCCCCCTGAGTTCATGCACAGATGTGGAACTTTTTCCGACACGATGAATGCAATCAGTGAAGCTTATGACACATTTCGGGCGGGTGAAATCGCTGACAAGCGGCGTCGAACTTCCGCGTCGCAGGAATCCAACGGGCCTCAGTTGCCCACGTTCCTGGTCGTAATGCGGCAGGCAAACGCCTCAGCCGACCTGTTGGTTCCACAGCTCGTCGACGAGCCACTTCCCTCCAGCGGTGGGCGGCCATGGGGGCGAGGCCGCCGCCGGCAACCTGATCTTCGTCCTCGGTCGTGGTGGGATCCGCCTCTTCCTCCACCAGCTCCTCCGCCCACTTGTCCTCCAGAGAGAGGCACATGTTGTGGAGCACGCACGCCGCGCACGTCAGCATGACGGCCTTCTTCACGCTCTTGGTGTCGACGAAGCTGAGCCGGCGGAAACGCGCCTTCAGCACGCTGAGCGCGCGTCGGCTCACGTCGACCGTGTCTGTCAGCAGCTGGTTGTAGTAGTGCTTCTTGTCGCCGGGCGCTACGCGGTTCGAGCGGAACGGCGTCATCAGCCAGGGCCGCAGCGGCAGTGACACGCCGCCCACCAGGAAGCAGTCGCCCGGCAAGTACACGTCGCGGAAAGGCGTCGTTGGCGAGCTGTTTGGCGAGCGGACTGCCGTCGAGCACCTCCGACTCGTGCAGCGAGCCCGGGCTGCCGACGTACACATCCGTCAACCGGTTGCTAGCGTCGCACACCGTCATCATGTGAAACGAGAAGAAGCCCTTGCAGTTGGCAAACTTGTTCGGCTCGTACATGGGCTTCCGAATGGGGATGTGGCAGTCGGCGACGGCGCCCAGCACGCCCTTCACACCGGCCACCTTACGGAAGGACTCGACTGTACTGAGCATCTGAGGCCCCACAGGCAAGCGAATGAAGAGCTCTTTCAGGTTGGTCAGGCGTTCGATGATCTCATCCACGAACTCCCACGCCGTGGACATGCTCATTTCAAACTGCGTGGCGACCTTTCGGAAGCTGAGAGTACTGCCCAGGTAGAAGAGTGTCAGCAGCAGTTGTTTTTCGCGGGGAGTTGGCACCAGTCCTGCCCCTGTCGGGTTGCCTTCGCGCTCGCCCAGGATATCCACCATGCTGGCGAGCGTCTCCCTGTCGACGCGGAAGTTGGTGCGGAATTCTTCGTCCGTCATCTGAGGTATTGTTTCCTCATAGTATATGTCGCACTTCCTGACATGTTCCCGTTCAGAGGGTCTGAAATTAATAGACGCGTCAGCGCACTGAGCTAAGCGCCCGGCGTAAGGTGGGGTTGTACAATCGCCAGTAAAGGGCATCGTTCGATGGCAAAGCAAACAAACTACCTTCCGTAACCACAGGCACGAGTGATGACGCCTCACTAAAGCAGTGGTGAAAAAAACATCACATGGAGTGTGGTGTTCGTGTCTGCACCTACATGTTGCAGCAAAAAGAGCACCACTTAACGCAAAACAACACAGGTGGCCTCGCTTTACGCTGGACATCACGATCTCAAAACAACCTACATTTATGCACAGGATTCCTTTTGGAGTCCACCACACAGAGCCCAGACCTCTACAGCATGAGACAAAACAATGACACGAGTCTTTACGCCGTTCTCAACGCGACTGGCGCAGAGCCGCATATGGGCAATCAAAGGGGCAGTGCATGCGAACAGCTCTCCAGCATTACTCTCTACTCGGCAACGCGAATATTCGGGGCTAAAAACTTTTAAGTTCAATAAAAGCACAGCAATGTAAGTTTTCATACCTTATTCAGTGTTCTTTGGCTCGTAACGCAGTATCAATGACATTTAAAGTGCCACCACAATGGATTTACATGAAACGCGTGACAGCTCCGCCCGCAGGGCCATGTTGACAAGACAAGGTCTGTGAATAACAACACAAAATTGGAAACAAAAGAACGCCTTTAAAGGCCAACAGCTGGGAATATCACATGAATCGCGAAGAAGCACCACAACTTTCTAAGAACGCATGAAATGACACCTTTTGATTTGCCGAAATATTTTACGGGTGTCACAATACTTACAGTTCTTCGATAAGGGCGTCTTCATCCGTTTCATACCCGATCTCCCTTGACAGTTCATCCAAGAAGAATGCCTCTAGACTCAGAGGATCTTGATGCTTCAGTCCTCGGTTGCTGACATGTGGTACCTCAATAAATTCCTCAGACCACATGGCTCCATCCATTTCCCTGAAACCAATGTTTAAATCAGCGCAGAAGTCATTGAACCACGCAAGCGGTGTAATGTCAATAAAGTATTGAGCCGACCCATGCTATGTGTCCATGTGACCCATGTGTCTGGCCGAAAACCTAAAGACATCAACCGTTAGCGAGCAGCTTGGTGCAGGCTATATAAGTTGAACTATTAAACAACGCCATCGCCACATTCCTTCGAAAATTCCATCGAAACATGCCCCTACAGTGCACGCTATGCTGCCCATGAGTGATCGCATACGGCCAAGGTCGTTAAAGGGCCGTCTTCAAGTCAACCCTCATACATAGAGAATACTTTTTGGATATGCATAAATGCTTTTTCGCATCGTACTTATCAGAGTGGAATATTTCTAGGGCCCCGTTTTAGACCGCGAGTCTTTTACGCGACTGCAGGGTCACTTCACCTCTACAACTGGGACGCGTAATACGTGATCATTTTCTTCAACGCAAAAAGCTCACATGCGATTTTTTTACCAACTTTTACGCACTGACAGAGGCGGATACGAAACTTTGCCAAGGGAGAGCCACGCTCTGCTGTGATGCCCGTCCTCACAAAAACCCAGATTTCGGTCACCTCAGTTTCAAATTATCTTGTTTTAATCGGGAAACTACCATCCTTTGCACATCGTAGAAGGTTCAACATATACGTAGATATGTATGCAAATGGTGCGAGTTATTTTTTCCGGAGACTAAACGGGTCGTCTACCATTCTGAGGAATTATTTTGGAGAAGATATGACAAGTTAAGTTTGAACTAAGTGTTCCACATTTATGTGGGCCTTTGACTGAAATAGCCATCTTGAAGACCTTTCGGTTCTGTTCACAACCCTGACCTTCTTAACACCTAAGCCCGTCTACTTTCTGAACTACACGCCCGCGAAACGGGGAAAGGTATATTGGGAGAGTATGTCAAGGTCATCTGGGCATTCCTTGGCAACTTGGGATGAAACGGTATGTTACCAAATAGGTATAGGTGTGGATTACTTGTTCAGATTTCTATTGGTTGGCCAATGAAATAAAGAACATAATCACCCGCACGACGAACAACTTTTGTCGTAATGCGGAAGCCAAACGACTTTGCACACAATTGTTTTGTGAAAATACATTCCGCTGCATATGCGCGCACTAACAACAACCTTACTTGACTCACATGTCAGCCCTACCCTTATCGTTGACATTGGTTCGATTGTGGACAAATTCGACAGCTAATGCTGTTGCCCTGAACACAAATGTGCTCGATACAATGTCCTGCAGGCATTGTAAAATGTTAAGCTTACATTGGTTTTTAACGTTCTGTCAAGAGGCAACCACGGGTGCCAAAAAAGACGGCCCAAGGTGTACGACCTCCTCACTGTCATCAAGAGGACGCGGAACAGTTGGTTCCGGTCAGCGAAGCCGCCTCCAAATTGCACGGGTGAAATATCCTGGTCAAGAGATGACAGGCCGTCCCCTCCTAGCACGGGTTCCCCAGCGGCTGTCATTCTGACGAAACGGCGACCGGGGACCTTTGGTCGATGCGGAGGCCCTCAGAGGAATGAGTCGTACGCCGCGCCGGTCCACTACCTGAAGTGGCAAGCCCTCTGACCGGAGCATCTGGCAAGGGATCGATGCAGGGCTCTCACCGACGCAAAACAATCCTTTATTGGCGTAGGAAGTCTAATAACTAGCGCCGAGAAACGGTGCGGAAAGCCCTTCGTTTGGTACTGAGGACTGTGTCACCAGGCATTCCACCATCTAATTGTCCATTTGAACCTTTAAAGCGTCATTTCCCACATCTCCTTCCATTGCCGAGATGGCTTTTGATAATCAAGGGCCAGTACCTGTCCCTATCAGCACATGCGCCCCAGGGCGAACAGGGGTCATTGCAGCCACAGGATCCCTCGTTAAAGGGCACTGTGGGCCCCTGACCAGCACAGGGGGGAGGTTTTACTGCTTTAGGGACCCGATCGATCGAAAATGCCTTTTGATTGATATCTTTAAGTGCCAGCCTTATGCCTGCTTGGGAAAGAGGCCTCCAAGGCACAGACCGGCACGAAGCCGACCGCTCGGTATTAGTGATCTCAGTCAGGTTAGACATGTGACATAGAGGCCTTCACTATTCAAGGGGCCCGTGATTGCTGCGCGAGGCCGTTTGACCAACGTGTGATGGTTTGGCCTACGCACTGCCCTTTGGACACTCCGACCGGGATCGTGATGGTTTGGGAACCTTTGTGGGGCCCCATAAATCTGTGTTCCTGTTATAGGTAAAGGATATAATCTTTTGAAATGAAGATGTTTGGGACCCTTTCGTCGAACGAGTCCATCCAGGATGTGGTCAGAGTGGAATATAAAGGAAATTGAATGTCCTGGAACTTCGCGCCACTCAAGAATGATGCTTTGATGGCGCTTTGAGTGGTCTGCTTAGATCTGCTGTGTCAACAAAATAAATGTTATAGTGTCTTTGAGGCGCCCAAGCAGTCTGGTACTAATCAAAATAAAGGTTGTAATATCCTGACATTTAGGCTTTTGGTGCCTCTTTCACAAGCAGGCTAATCCAGGATTGTGTCAGACTGGACAGGAAGGAAGGACAGGAAGCTGTGGCACCCTGGTTTTACTGCCCCTTGAAAAAAACAGATTTTGGGTCCTTTTAATGGCTTGCTGATATCTGCTACCCAAAACAAAAGTTTTGGTGCCCCACAAGGAAGGTGCTGGTGCCCCCTCAGCCGATCCAGTGTTCTATTAAAGTGGGACCAACAACATTTCTGTGCCCCTAGAATCTGGTGCCCCTGAGAACGAAGATATAGGGTCCCTTGCAGTACTCTCTGGAATTGGGTGCATCCCAAAAATTAAGATTTGCGACCCTCCGTGGTGCTGCTGAAACTTGGTGTCTCTTGAAAATATAGGTTATGTGGTTTCCAAGTAAATTGTTATCCCTTTGGACACCAATACCTCATAGGTGCTCCAATACTAAAGGCAGACTCAGAATTATTCCAGTATAAGAGGAAAATAATTGGCAAATAAATGTCAAAGCAATTAGCAGAGAATGCTGCACCTTTATACATGCTTAACTTAAGAATGATGTTTTGGCGCATACATTCCCTTTAATCAAGCCTGTAGCTTCCATATATCATGACTGTCCAGCCACTGCTTACATATCATCATGTGTGCTGACCAATTTTCAGGGCCAATATGCCTACAATCCATTACCAATTTAGGCTTGATTTATTAAAATTTTAGTGACAATGACAAAATAATGACAATACTTTGCTTAAGGACCATATGTGACATACCATGGGGGCTGAGATGGTTGTTAGGGCAAGTAAATAGTGTACCCATAACACAGTATATGTACAAGTTTCCAGCACTGTAAACATAATAATACCATACCCTTGATTAAGGCACAGTCAAAACTGCATTAGGCACATAGTCATCAAACCACATATATCCATGATACCAGAACTGAATTTTATAGCAGATGCTAGACCTATATGCATCAAAATCATGGCACTGGGAAGCCTAGCCTAGCCTAGCTTAGCACACAATGACCCTGTTTCTGTCAGGCCATGAGCACTTAAATATGACATACAAAAAAGTGCTATGAATGTTTTGAGATACTTTAGTCTATGTTTGTTAAGCTCAAAAGATTCAAATTTACTGGTAGTGCAATTGCATTATGATCCCTTGTTTCCAAAGAACACTGAACTTATTGTTAGACCCTGATCATTGTCAAAAGGCAATGCCCCTAAGGGAAACTATATGAGCATACTTTGACACCAAGGCACAAAACAGGTAACCCTCTAACCCAACAACTACATCACCTGACCAAAAGGCACAGCTAATGATCTTATGCAGAAAATAGCTCAGTCCAAACTGCCAGTAGTGGGAGCAGGTGCTAATTTAGAGCAGATATCAAACAACTATTAGAACATATTGTGAGATCACCCATAAGCATGCCCTCAGTTGCCAAATGTTTTATTGCATTTGGCTGCAATAATTGTTTGATATCTCCCTGATCAGCAACCAGTTAAGCTGCAGCACATCACGGTACATCAAAACCACTTTTTCAACTCATTAGGAGCTACCCATGTTTTCTGTGGGTTAGGGAAAAGTTGAGTTTTCATGGGCACGACCAAAACATCACAAGGGGGCAGGTGGAATTAAAAGTAGTTCTACCATGAGGGAGCAAACAGGTTTCTCACTCATATCCCACAGACATACCTCTCAGCTTCTGCCCTGTCCTCCATTACAAGGGCCGATTCTTAATGTTTGCTAGATGATGCACAGTTTGCTTTCAGCCAGTCCCACAAGCACAACTCGCCCCTCCCGCCTTATTTATCGTCGTCCAGGACTGGCCGGGACACCCTACATCAAAACAGACGGTTCACCTAAGATCAAACGCGTTCAAGCGTCCGTTTCAGCTGTCTTCATCGCGGCATTTTCGTCGCAGTCTTAATCTGGTAGCTTTCCTGTTATTTATCATGAAAGCCGAGCATGGTAAAGGAAAATGGGGGATTTAGCAACGTTTGTGTGTCGGGGCAATATGTACGACTATGGACTGTGTACTATGGAGTCTAACAATTAACTGCTAACTTACTAGTATGGACCTGTATGCACTCAGTTCAGAAGACCCAGGCTCGAATCCCAGCAATTTCAAAGACAGAATTCAGGTTGTGGCGCGTGATTGAAAGCCAAACATGATTGAAAGCCGAACACCATTCAGTCCCTTTCAGACCTCGTTAACACCTGATCATGGTTGGAGCATTAACTGGCCGATGTAATTTGTACCCACCAACACTCCAAGTGATGATGATAGTCAGAACAACTAGTCCCTCCTTAACACGCGCCCGGGTGGTCGGCTAGATACCCTTCGCTCGGGTGGGGTGGCGGGGGGGGGGGGGCAATTTGACCCCCTGAGATTTTGAGAACTACGAGAGCTAGAGACACCAAATTCACAGCGTATGTTGATTTGTACGTGAACTCACTTGGGTCAAAGTTTGACTTCCATAGGTCATGACCTTCGGGTCAAATAAGGTTATACAAGGTAAATATCCATGTTGGTATCCGAAGTGCCCCAGAACCTACATAACTGTTTCTAAGCAAAAGGTCACATGCTCATTTAAGGTCAGTGATCTTTTTGACCTTTTAAAGGTCATGGTGACCAAAATTATACAAGACTGCTAGGAGTTTTGCACTTTAATAAACGACAAAGTTTACGCTAGGCAGTATGCTCCTAAAAACCAAACGTCGACCTAAGTTATTTTAGGTCAATGACCTATTTTAAGCCCTAAGAAGTCCATGGAAGATGCAGAATGCGGTTCCTACTTTTATTAAATTCGAAATGAGTACCAGAAACTATCCCATACAACAAGCCCTGGAGTAATAAAACAGACTGGCTTGACCCTTGGTCTGACTTTCATACCTGACCTCAGGTCAGTGTAACTTGCTGATTCAGTTGGCGTGTTTGCTAAGAAAGCATTTCAGAAATGTATGGCTTCGTCTAACACTCCGTTGTTGCATAAGATTGAACGATTCCCTAGGAGTTGACTTCGGTGAAACCATGGCCTGATTTTGACCTGCCGTAGGTCAGCGACATTACCAGATACATCTAAATTTTGGTCACCAAACGATTTGCTTTTCATTTGTCTACAGCTAAAGAAAATTTGGTGCTGCTGTGCCACATCGTTCGGAAACTATTTTGGAAAACCTTCTGGGGGGATTTGACTCCCCTCCCCACCCGAGCGCGTGTTAAGACGCGCTCTGGTGAAGGGTCAATTTGACCACCCCGAGGGTTTTGGCGGAATAGTTTCCGAACGGCGCCTCGTAGCCGTGTCCAATTTTGCATAGTTGTAAGCAATTGAAAAGCGGACCGTTTGGCGTCATAAATTTAGATGTACCTTGTAGGGTCACGGACCTGCGGCGGGTCCAAGTCAGGTCATGGATTCAGCAAAGTCAATTTCTGGGGAATCCTTCAATCCGATGCAACAGCGGAGTGTTAGACGAAGCTATACATCTCTGAGATAATTTCTTAGGAAACAAAACAATTGAATGAACAAATTCCATTGACGTAGGGGCAGGCATGAAGGTCAGGCCAAGGTCAAAGCCAACCTGTCTTATGACCCCAGGGCTTACCTTATGGGGTAGTTTCTGGTGTTAGTTTCAAATTTATTGATAACAGAAGCCGCATCATGCAATTTTCATGCACTTCCTAAAGGTCAGAATAGGTCACTGACTTGAAATGACGCCAGTCAAAGTTTGGCGCCAGGGCCAAAAGGTACGGAACCTGGGCGATCATAGATGCCGCGGCAGACCAACAAAGAGGCTTCCGTCGACGAAACACGGGTCCTAAGAGCAAGTGAGAAGAACCCAAGACCATCGTGGTGGGCCCCTGAACGTTCGGGAGTGCCCCGGCAGCCTGACATACAGGGCCCCGGCCTGACCACAGCCCGCTCTGAGCAAAGGGAAATTATCCAAGACCAGTGTGAGAGAGGCACTGTCCCTGTGCGACCAAGAGCGCCAGGGCAAGTAGCAGAAAGGGGCCCGATACAAATGAAGGGTTCTCCGCAAACGAGATCAAAAGCAAAGAGCGCTAGATCAATATAGAGGGCCCCTGAACATCGAGCGGCTCGGTGTCTCATCTTATATGGGCCCTAGCAACAGCACAAGACCCTCCGAACAAGTGAAAAGAGCAACCGAGTGTGCTCTGGTATATGTGGCTCCGAGAAAAGCGTATAGAGCCTTTAAGGCGAATGGGAAGAATCCGTGGAGAGCCGCTGATCGATCAAGAGTGCCCATGCATGTCAGCACGTAGTGCCCCGGCAGCAGCGCAACGCCCGGTGAAAAAATGCAGAGCTCAAAGACAACTTAGGGTGCTCTTTAGCGATCGCATTAAGCCGGTAAATGGAGATATAGCGCCCTAGCAGTAGCGTAACGCCTCTGGACAGCAAAATGAGCCTCTGTCCCCCAATCGCCATGCTCTCAAACGGCAAAGAATTAACTTTGTCTGCTCACAGGCTCTTCGCTTTCGCTTGTGATTGTTCTTGGTCATCTGGAGGCCCAAAGACGTCCATTGCGTTTTGTGTTAGAAAACTGCGTCCGTTTGGCCGGTCAGAGGCAAAGGGGGGGGGGGAGGTATGCTTCCGTGCCCCCTTGGGACAAAGGGGGGACATGCTTTCGTGCCCCCTCCCCTCTCTCTGGGTTCGCCACTCGCCCGAGCAGTTTAAAAGATGAGGTTCCGACAAAACCGTAGTTCTCTCCATTCAAATAAGAAGTACCCAATACACCATATGGAAAGCTCAGAAATGATCGAGTGTGTCCCATCAGCTTAACATCGGGGCTAACGATAGGAGCGTAGGACCCTCCATTTTATTCACAAATTTCCAAATTTCCATGTCGCGATGCGGAGGGCCCCAAACGTTTTTTTACGTTTCGTTGAGTTCACGGGGTAAAAGCTTCATGTGTGCATGTCGTTTTGCCTAAACAAAGTGTTCAAGCTTTTGGAGCATTTGTTATAGAAACATTTGGGCACATTAGCTTGTTTCAAACATTACAGAATGCATGGGATGGAAGGAGCAAGGCAAACTGCATGCATTACTTTCTTAGTGGTGAGCAGGGAGTCAAACGAGGTTTCCCCCTGGGTACGGCTTCTTCAAATCGACATTCTAAGTTATTCATAAGGATTTGGAGAAAACTGGCAGTACTGCTTAAATCATAAATGTCTGATGTATTAATAAGTGAAAAGTACAACACAGTAGGATGTGTTCTTTAATGGATGTGCCCCCGGCAAGAGCATAAGGTCATCCATTTAAATAAGGAGTGCCCAAGACAAGGTGTGGAGGGCTCCCGAACGATCGAGTGTGCCCGAGCCGTCTAACAGATAGGGGCTCCCGACAAGAGTACAGGGCGCTCAATTCAAATGTGAAGCACTCACAACACGATGTAGAGGGCCCCCGAACGATCGAGTGGACAGAGCAAGTTAACAGAAAGGGCCCTTGACAAGAGCATAGGGCTCTCCACTCAAATAAGAAATGCTCACAACACAATACGGAGGGCCCCCAAAGGATGGAATAGGCCGGAGCATGAGCAAATGTTCCACATTTATATTGGTTTTGAACTGAAATAGATATCTTAAAGACCATTTGATGCTCTTCACAATTCTTCCCATATTAAGAGATAAGCCCCTCTAGTTTCTGAACTATACGCCAGCGAAAATGGGGAAAGGTTCATTGGGGAAAGTATTTCAAAGTCACCTTGGCATTCATAACGTCATGATACCGTGATTCGAGTCCGGCCATTACATGAGTCATGTGGTGATCAAGGCCAAGAAAAATGCACTTGCCGGGTGTTCACATCTGGCGTTCGTAAGCGCAATTTCCAGATGTGACGGCCATCAAATGGCTCTCAATTAATGTGTGTGCAAGTTACGGTCACGCAATCAAAGCATGACACCGTGGGGAGCATATCGACTAAACAGAGAATTGTGCTGTCTAGATCAGTCTCTTCCACCTGAAAAGAAAACCAATAGCTATAAGTGAGCTTGATTTATCGTATATGATGTTTACTTAAATGCTTTCAGATGTGAAACACTGTCTTTAACAGATAGGGCCCCTTCAAGAGCATAGGGTCATCCATTCAAATAGAAAGCACACAATACACAGGGAAGAGGTTTCCCAAATGATCCAGTGTGCCCGAGCAGGCTAACGGACAGGGCCACCGACAAGAGCATAGGGCTGTCTATTCAAATAGGAAGTACCCGAGACCCAATGCAGAGGGCCCCCGAACGACTGAGTAAGCCGAAACATGCTAACAAATAGGTTCACCGACAACAGCGCAGGGTCATCCATTCCAATAAGGAGTACCTAAGACACAATGTGGTGGGTTCCCAAAAGATCGCGTGTGCGCAAACCAGTTAACAGATGGGGACCCCGACGAGAGCATAAGGCCCTCATTTGAATAAGAAATAGGTACAACACAATGTGAAGGGCCCCGAACGATCGAGTGGGCCGGATCAGGTTAACAGATACGGCCCCAACAAAGCGTAGGACTCTTCATAAGAAGAAGATTCATATTTAAGTAAGAAGTACCCGCAACCCGGCGTGGATGGCCCCCTAAAGATCCAGTGTACCCAAACAGACCATCAGATGGCCCTCGACGGGAGTGTAAAGATCTGCATTCAAATACCAAAACCCAATGCGCGGGGCCCCAAAACAATACAGTGTGCCTGAGCAGGTTAATTTGGAACGCCCCGAATGCCCGAGCTTTTGCCCAGGCAAGTTAACAGATCGGCCTCCGACAGGAACGTAGGGCCCTAAGAAAGCGATAGAAATTTGGAAGGGCCCTAAACCTATGAAGAGTGCCCATGGGC